CAACGACACCGGCCTATGAAATCACCATATGGCGTTGATTTTTTTGAATTGTTGCTCACCGAAGGTCCTTGGTCAATGGGCTAAGAAATGGTCCATCAAACAAAAGCGCGTCAAGACTGCAAGGGCCAGCGGGGCAGCCCAACCTCGCGAGATGCGCCAAAGCATGTGAAAGATGCAGAAATGGCTCTGAAGCCTGAAGAAGTGGGAGCATTTGAAAATGAAGGAGCCAAAGTGGGAGGCCGTCAAGAAAGAACCTCCTTTCTACACGACGGCCCACATGCAGAAGATGATGGATGAGCAAGAAGAAGAGGACGGCATGGGTCCAAAGACACAAAAACAAAGGCGCATTGCCAAGACACCTCCACCTCCTGAGAAGAAGGGCAAGACCAAGGAGGAGCGCATGGCTTGGTTCAAAAGCTTGACAGAAGCTAAGCAGGAGGAGTCAAGCGAAGCACCAAGGCAGATGCTTCGACTGAAGTCCCGGTCTCGTTCTCCGGGCAAAGAGAAGGGCAAGCAAAAGCAGGTAGCAGCTGACTCGAGCTGTCAATGTGGCAACAAAAGATGCCGCTCGCGAGGCCCAGAAAGGAAAGGGCAAGCGGTATCCAACACCTTCAAGTGAGCCCAGTGAAGGTGAAGGCGATCCATTGAAACTGTTGAGTTTGGAGCTGGCATCCACGCCCATGGCTCATCAGGTGACTTTGGATTCAGGAGCAGCCACCTCTTGCATCCCAGTCGAACTCGCCGCAGCATCAGGCTACAAGCCCGTTCAGCCTGAAGGCATGAACATAAAGATCTACAAGACAGCATCAGGCGAGACGGTGAAGGATCTCGGCAAGATCAACGCCAAGGTGACGATTGGCATCGGCAATGGGGCACTGACGGGACAGTGTAGCTTTCGAGTGATGGCAGCTTATACTGTTGGCAGGCGTGTCGCAGACAAGGGTTGGTCCGTCCAGATGAGCAAGACTGGAGGACACAGTGCTCGAGATGGGAAGAAAATCTCACTTTCCTTTTGCAACGGAGTCTACTGCGTGCCGATCGTGTTCCACCATTTCACCCGGCACCGATGTGGGTAAGTCCGGTCATGGACAAAGAGGCCCCCGCAGAGTTTGAAGCCGCTGAGGCCGAGCCAGGTGATGAACTTCCATCTGGTCTCAAGATCAACGCTCCAGTTCGCCCAACGCGAAAAGAGAGCTCTAGGAACACTCAGTTTCATATGTTCCTTTTCGTTCGTGGCGTGAGGCCTGTATTAGAGGTAAGGCCAAAGCATGCCAAAGCCAATCCACAAAAAAATGGTGGATCAGTAGTGACTGTAGATTACTGTTTCATGAATTCACGAACTGATGACGTAATCATGGATGAAAAGACACATGCCCCAATCCTAGCTGTCAGAGATCGATGGACGAAACATCTTTTTGCCCACGCGTTACCCTACAAAGGTGTAACAAAAGGACCATATGGATCCAAGGTACTCCTGAATGACATCAAGAAACTAGGGTATTCCAAACTGGTCATTCGACAGGATCCCGAACCTGCTCTCACATCCGTCGTTGAGGCAGTAAAGAATGGGTTTGAAGGAACCTTGATCATCGAGAAGAGCTTGAAAGGAGTCAAAGAGTCCAAGGAGAAACGGAGCGAGCAGTTCAATCCTTGGGAGGACAAGAAAGGACTCTTCGAGCCGCAATCGAGTCGAACTATGGTGAAAAGCTTCCAGACGATTCACGTATTTTGACATGGTTGGTTGAACATGCATCCACAGTCTACATCAACTTGTTTTTCCGATCGACTGACCTCCAAGACGGAAGACGCCATACTCAAGACTTCGTGGACGTGAATGGAAAGTAGGTATTCCACGTTTTGGTGAGGCCATCGAATACCTCAAGGGAGGTCACAAGTTCTAGGCTCAGTGGACCAAAGGCATTTTTCTAGGAGTGAAAGACAGCACCACAGAGAAGATAGTAGGCGCAGCCACTGGAGTTTACACAGTGCAGTCCATCCGAAGAAAGCCCGAAGAAGATCGATATGACTCAGCATTGCTGAAGTCGATCACTGGCATCCCCTGCAATCCTCAAGCAACTCGCGAAGAACCAGCGATTGCTTCCCCAAGGGAGCCAGTTATTGCCAGTCCAAGTGCTAAAGGTTTAGTCCAGCCACCGGCAATCGATGACAAGAAAAGAAAGCTGAAAAGGCTTTACATCACCAAGAAAGACCTGGAGAAGTTTGGGTATACAGCAGATTGCCCAGCTTGTGATGCCACACAGATTGGCAAAAGAACTTCAGGCATCCAGCACACCAACAGGTGTCGAGACAGACTTGAAGAACATATCAGAGGTGAAGAAGAAGAGAATCCAAGAGTAGCAAGACATGAGAGTCGAGTAGGAGAGGCAGTCACTGGCATGCCACAGCCAGTCAGTGGCAAGAGACCTCAAATCCTCCATGGATATGAAAGCAAGAGACCATCGGGAGTCCCCGATTCCTGCGTCGAAGCTCATTGTTTTCAATCCACAATGCCAGGAGGACCTGACTGGTCTACCGTTTGGCACCGAGTCACAAGAAACCATGCAAACAATGCAATCATTGAAAGTGGAGACATGACGACTGACCTTCCACCAGAGATACTTAATGGAGCATTACCTCACAAGATGGACATTGTGACAGAACTGTGGTACGAACCAGCCGCAGCACCACCAACAGGCACAGCATCAGCATCAGCATCAGGAATTCGCAGACCATGCGAGCCTGAACCACATGGAGAGAAGAGAGAACATGAAGCACAACGTGAACCAGCAGGATCACCAACGGCAAAAGCCAGAGTAGATAGAGACAAGAAGAGAAAAGCAGAAGGCGAACATGAAGATGAAGCCGAGAGGACAAGAGACATCCAAAGTATTGAGGTGGCTCTAAGAAGTCTAATCCTAGAAGACAGAGAAAGAGTGGTATCTAGCATCGAGCCAGACAAACCAGTGTGTGAAGAGAAGATCCCACTGCCAGAAGACATGGCAGAAGAGGCAAAAAGACGGGTGGTACTATGATGACATCAGTGGAAAAGAACTCTTACCTGAAAAGGTAGAGAAAGCCAGAAAAGATGAGATCGATATTGTCGAATCCACGGGAGTTTGGGAGAAAATCCCAAGAAACCAAGTTCCAAAAGGAACCAAAATCATTGGAACTCGATGGGTAGATGTGAACAAGCAAGATGAAACCAATCCTCTCTACAGAAGTCGATTGGTGGCACAAGAAACCAAAAGAGGCTCAGGTTTTGACGAATTTTTCGCAGCCATGCCGAGCCTAGCAGCTGTGAAGCTACTGCTCACCATTGCAGTCAGCGACAGCCTTCCATTGGAGAAAGGCGAGAAAAGAAAGACAAGGCAATCATTTCTATGATTTTTAGATGTGAAAAGAGCTCATTTCTACTCCAAGGCAACAAGAGAACTCTATGTTGAGATTCCATCTGAAGGCAAGAAGCCAGAGGATGGAGATGTAGTTGGCAGATTGGTCAGGAGCCTGTATGGCTCCAGAGACGCACCCATGAACTGGGAGCTGACCATCGCAGAGTTCATGAAGAAGTTACAGTAGGATTTTTGCAAGGTAAGTCGAATCCATGTATATACTACCATCCAGCTACTGATGTGGAAACAGCTGTGCAACTCTTGGTCGATACCTGACATATCTGGCCAATCGTTTCAGCATATTCCAGCGCCTCGATGTTGGATTCTGTAGACCCTGTGCCAACGAGCGCGTTGCAGTTTGCAGATCGGGTCGATCTTGTGCCAAATACGCGGCTCTCATAGCAGTAGATCTATACGTCGTCAATGGTGTCTTGACCTTGCCTGGTTGACCAGTGCCTAACCACTTGATGATCAACTCTGCATGTCTTGGATCTGGTTCCCACCAAATGCCTTCGTCTGACCTAGCGATGATGCGATTCAACACTCTGATCTGTTGGCTAGGTTTTGGTGATCCAGGTGGACCGAGAATGCCTCGGTCCACAACTTGCCATTCTTTGGCTGGTGAGGTGTGAAACCATTTGATGTCTTCAAACCTTCCTACTGTCGTGAAATCATCTCCACGCACTTCTATTTGAAGTTCTCGCACCTGCAACCCCTTTAACATGTGGTCAGACGCCGACCATGCAGGTTGCATAAGGACACGAAAGAGTGTGTCAGGAGGCGTGCTCATGGCCAACAAATGCTGTCTCACTACATACAGCAAAGGCCAAGGAGTTGTCTCCCTTAGCAGTGGTGAATCCGAGTATTATGGACTTGTTTCTGGAGCATGTCAGATGCTTGGAATTGCATCAACTGCCAAAGACTGGGGATTGTTTCCCAGCAAAGAGGTGACAATGGACGCTTCCGCTGGCACCGCCATGGGAAACCGTCGAGGTTTGGGACGAGCCAAACATGTTGACACTCAGTACCACTGGGTACAAGAGCATACAGCAAAGAAAGGGTTTCGTCTCAAGAAAGAAGGCACAGACCGAATGTTGGCCGACGTGCTAATGAAAGCTGTCACCGAGGAGAAAATGACCACAGCCATGAAAGGCATGAACTTCCACTACCTGGAAGGTGAACATGAGCTAACATTGAGAGCTTGAACGGCTTGAGCTAGAGTAGGTACTGGAGGGCTACGAGCCAATTCACTCATGCGCTAATCCTGATTCGTTTAACATCTCTCAGAAGTTAAACTCAGGAGGCGTGATTACATGTACATGCCATAGTTGTTCATAGATGTATGTTTCACTGCAGCCGTTTGTGTTCATTCGGATCTACTTGATCGCATTGAAGCGTGAGCTAAAAGTATGCCTAAGCTTTGAATACAACCTTTGGGACTGTGACTTGGGGTCACTACCTTCGTGAGCCTAAATTCTCCGTTCATTTTGCCTGCTTCTTTGGGCCCCTGTGCCGGGGCTTTTGGAATGCTTTGCATCATTGCCCCGAGCCCTAAGCAAGTGTATCACAAGTGAGTTGTTGACCCGTCCCAAGCCTACTAGAAGAAGCAAGGTCGGAGGCTACGACTACACGTCCGCAGCAGCAGCCAAAGGGAAGTGCCAATCGCTTGGATATCAAGGGCTTTGCAGCAAAGCTGAGGTGGAAGGCCGGCGAACAGCGCGGCGAACATGTCGTTGTTGCCAAGGCAGCCGGAGCCATGTTGTGTGCAATGGTAAAGCCCTGTGAAGCCACTAGTCACTAGCGAGGGTTCTTGCGAGAGTTTCACTAGCGAACACTAAAGGAGCGAGGGAAGGGATTTGCCGCCCCCGCTTTCAATTTCCTAAAAATCAAACACAAGCCGCTGCATTTTCCCGGCGCTCAAAGATAGGATGAGGCGCCTCATGCCAATATGAGTGTCTTTTTAGCGTCATATGGCGCCAAACAACATTTGCAGAACTTGAGCAAGGATGACACGCACATGAGAAGTGTACCGCACTGTTCAGGCCCGTTTGAGCTTTGAAAAAATGTCCGCATGGTAGCGGAGCCACAAGAGCTCCAGCGGACCGTGGACCTGTAGTCGCCTGTTTTTCATTGGTCTTAGAGCCATAGCTTGATCTTTGACGTCTACAAGGTGGTGAACATCGCCGGCTACACCTTTGCCGACGGTGATGGAACAGACTTGAACATTTGCCCTGAGAAGATTTGAGAGTGGTTCTACATCCTGGACAAGGAAGAGGTTCTTGAGATCATAGAGGGTGAGGTCGAACTACGATGGATGGTTCTGGAGGCCAGGATGCTTTCGCCCTGGCAGCTGGCATGGCTGGGGCCCCTGAGCTTGCACAAGCTCTCATTAATGCTGCACAGCCAGCGGCGCAAGCAGCCCAAGCAGCACAAGCGGCTTCTTCCTCGAGCGGTGGAAGTGGGATCCTCAAGAAGGATCTGGCAAAGTTGATTCCAAGACCTAGCTCGTTCTCACCGGCTGATCGGGAGCATACTGGAGTTTGAAGCAGTACTTGGTTGTGGTCGATGGAGGCTTCCAGGAGGAGATCGAGGCATAGAGAGCAACATGAACAATGAGGTGGACTGGGACTTGATGAGCAAGCCAGAACAAGAGAGAAGCAGGTTTCTCTACAGCTTGCTTGGCAGCTTGGTGCATGGCTGCTTGGTTGGAGTGGTCAAGAACGTGGAGAGCTTCAATGGCTATGAGGCCTTACGCCAACTACTTTGCAACTGCCAGCCACCAGCGAGGAACCGAACTATGAGCCTTTTGCAAGGGATCATGTCCCACCCGACCTTCAACATGAAGGGATCGCTCTTGCCTCAGATCCTGAAACTTGAAGAGCACTTTTTGCAGTATGAGAAGCTAGGAGGCAGCAAGCTTTCGTCAGACATGAAGTCAGCTGTTCTTCTTCGAGCGGTCACTGGGCAGATGAAGGTACATTTGAACCTGACGCTCAATGAGGGCAGCTCATACTTGAAAATTCGAGAGGCCGTTTTGGCTTTTGACACTGCCACCACGAAGTGGAATGAGTCGGCAGCTTTGACCCTTTACAAGTTCGAGCCCAATACAATCAACAGGAGATCCAAATGGGGTCATGCCAATGGAGATCGACCGGTTGCAGCAGAAAGGCAAGGGCAAGGGAAAGGGTTTGAAGGGCAAAGGCAAAATCAAAGGTGAGAAGGGCAAGTCGAAAGGGAAGGCCGCGACTTCTCCCAAAGGTGGTCAAAAAGATCGAAAGGGCAAAGGTGGCAAAGATCAAAAGCTGGGGAGAGGAAAAGGTAGCGGAGGTGATGTTTGCTGGACGTGTGGCAAGATGGGCTACCATTCCAAGGATTGCTGGAGAGTGCGGCAGGTTGAAGCGCCACCAGCAGCAAGTGTCAGCAGTCAGCAAACTACTTCCTTGTCTACCACGTCAACCAGCGCTACCGGTGTCACGGAGGCCAGGCTCAATTCAAGTTGCGGCGGGGCAGAAAGGTGCTATGAGAGAGGTTGAATTTTTCCACATGGATGGAGATGGTGAACACCGTGCGAGAAGAGTGGACAGAGGTAGCCGGTGGAGAGGCGTCAGGCGTCAGGGTGTGGCATGATTTATGAGCCCATGTTGATCATTGTGGACTCAGGTGCTGATGCTTCGTTGTTTCCAGGCAGCATGATGCACAAGGGCAAGCAGGCCATGGGAGCTTCACCTCCTCTTCAAGATGCCCAAGGAACACAAATCCAAACTTATGGACGCAAGGACATTGACATCGTCCTTGACAGCAGTGACGGCCGGAAAGTTGTTCTTCGAGAACGAATCACTTTTAGTGATGTTGTGAGCCAGCCCATCATTTCATTTGGGCGGTTGATGAAAGCCGGCTGGTCAATCGATGGAGTTGGTGAGTGCCTGAGGAATGGACAAGTGGAAGCGCCGTTGATGTTTCAAAATCGAAGCTTGGTTGTGAAGGGGTGCGTTCGAACTGTCCTCGAGACCAACGAGATTCGCACACTGACGGTCCAGCTGAGTGAGGAGCTGAAGGCAGTGGTTGGAGTGGTTTTGGTTGGAAAAAGAAAGATGGATTCTGGATTGGAGTTCATTTGAGCAACAGCTACCAAAGTCCCCAGTTCGTCCCGGAGCTGCGCACACAGAGTGAAAAGATGTGTCGATCTACTTTGGCGCAGAAGGGAGATCAATGGGAGTTGGTAGAAATGGCTGAGCCTTTGATGAGGCTCCAGGACCAAGAGGAACAGATTGAAGAGTTGAGAGGTCACGATCGAGGCCGAGTTCTGACCTTTCCTGAGGCTTTTGGCTTCAAGACCGAAGATGAGCATGGCGTCCCAAAGCCAAGTCAAGCAGACCTAGAAGAACTTGAGGTTCCGATGGCAATCACGGATGAGGTCTTCACTGACTTTGATGGAGTGGAAATCCCGGGCGGAGATGAACATCCAGGAATGGACTTGAGTGACCAGAGGGCACACTATGAGGTTGGAGTTGCGTTGCCAGAAAACATCAAGGTGAATGGCATTGAGCTTACTGCTGAGTCCCCACTGAGGAATCTTCGAGCAGCACGCGCGTTCTACAACATTGGCCAGAGTGGTGGAAAGGCTAAGTGTTTTGCGCGTCTCTTGGATCACCAGAAGAAGTTGGAGTTGCTACTGGCCAAAGATTTAGCTGCGCAGGGAAGAGCCTTTGAGGGGAGAATCCACATTGAACAGGTCATGGCAAAGGTTCCCACAGAAGAAGAGAAGAAGAGGCACTACTTGACTCATCTCCCCTATGCAGCATGGTGTCCTTCATGCATAAAGCACCGTGCAAAGCAGGATCAACACAGGAGAACTGGAAAGTCTCATGAGCAAGGTGTCCCAGCTATTTGCTTTGATTTCTGCCGAGTCCGGGCTACTGGATCAGGTGCTTACTGCATGCCTGGAAATGAGTTATCGAAGATATATGTAAGTTACCCTACATGTTAGGAAGTTATAACTTCTACATATAAGTTATTTACAAACAATTTATAAGTAGGATAAGTAAGTTATAAGTAGTTTATAAGTAGGTGCTAAGTAGTTAATTTTTTCTGAAAATTAGACCTTCGCATTCGGTACGCGCAGCACGCAGGCGCACTTTTTCAACGCGCAGCAGTGCTCAGTGGATGCAGGTGATCCTTGCCCCGTCACTTCTCCACCAACGCGCGGTCGTCCACTGAGACGCCTCGTCCACGCAGTGCCACGTGTCCCTGGGTGTCAGGTCCCAGACAGAGCCCCACGCTTCTCGGGTCACGAGCTGCATGCGGGGCGGAGGGTTGTCTTTTTGGATTGCACCAACTCTCGGATCATTCCTCCACCATCACCGTGCCAGTGCCAGATGACGTGGTCTCCCACATGCAAAGTCGCCAGCGTGCTGCGGGCACGCAGTTGAACGTTCCAGCGACGGATCGCAAAACACTCTCTGCGACTCGGAAGACGCAGGCAAACGTCCCCAAGTAACTTGCAGTTCCAAGAGGGGTAGTGCCTCTGCTGTCACGCGGTTCTCACTTGAGTCCATAGGGGATTTGACCTCCGTATGAATGACAACCGACTTGACTGTCTCCCAGGCATACCGTCCATCCGGCGCGGTATCAGAAGCCTTTCTGAAGCGCCTGCACAGCTTACACATCCGGGAGTTCGGTCCCTCCTGCTCCGGGATGTCCTCGACCACTGCCGCCATCAAGACGTCGTCCAGCACGCTGCTATAGAGCTAAACGGATACACGTTCGAGCCAGAGCACGCTACAGAACTATGGTTTTTTACACTTTCCTACATATGGGGTCCGACATCGACCGACATGGACCGACATTGGCAGACGTTGTGTGTTCGGGGGGGTCTCGACGCGGGCCTTATTTACTTATGTAGGGGCCGACATGGTCCGACATGCGTGAAAAAACACCTTTGAAAACGGGGTCCGACATCGACCGACATTGACCGACATGGACCCGCAGGTGGAATATATGCACCACCACGCAGGTGGAATATGTGCACCACCACGCAGGTGGAATATATGCACCACCACGCAGGTGGGATATATAGACCACCACGCAGGTGGGAAAAACTCACCACCACGTAGGTGGGATAACTCACCACCACGCAGGTGGGATAAACTCACCACCACGCAGGTGGGATAACTCACCACCACGCAGGCGGGAAAAAACTCACCACCACGCAGGTGGGAAAAACTCACCACCACGCAGGTGGGATAACTCACCACCACGCCGGTGGGATAACTCACCACCACGCAGGCGGGAAAAACTCACCACCACGCAGGTGGGATAAACTCACCACCCCGCAGGTGGGATGAACTCACCACCACGCAGGCGGCATAAACTCACCACCACGCAGGTGGGATAAACTCACCGCCACGCAGGTGGGATAACTCGCCACCACGCAGGTGGGATAACTCGCCACCACGCAGGTGGGGTAACTCACACACTCATGGATATGCGTACTGACTTGATTGCGGTGCCACACGCCGGCCTAGGGTTCCATTTCCTAAGAGTACAGGTAAGGAAACCAAAAGGAAGAGGAGGTCCATCTAGCGGAGGTCCCAAAGGTTGCAGGTGGCCAGCAGCTCCAAAAACACGTCGAGCGAGCGGACGACAAGGTGACGACGTGTCGTGCAGAAAAGTCAAATTCAAAGAGGTTCTCGGCTTAGCCTCTCG